GCCCGCGCGTACGCGCGCCCGCGCGACTGCGCGCCCGCACTCCCGCGCGCTCGCGCGCGCGTGCGCGCGCGCACGCGCGCGCACATGCACGCGCACGCGCACGCGCACACGCACGCGCACGCGCTCACGCTCGCGCGCACGCTCACGCACACGCTCACGCACACGCGCACGCAAACAGACACGCAAACACGCAAACACACGCATGCACGCACGCATGCGCACGCACAGACACACATACATATCGACATACTCATATACACATGCATACACATATACGCAGATATACACATATACACATGTACACATACACACATATACACATATACACACCTACACACATACACATTCACATACACATATACACACATCTGTATGCACATATCCACACGCATGTACATGTCTACGCGTAGAAGCATACACGCATACAGACGCACACACACACGCACGCACACATTTCATATGCGCGCACATACACATACACACATGCCCTTCTAAGCACACCCACACATATTCACACATGCGCACATGCACACATGCACGCGTGCTCACATACAGACATAAGCACATACACGCAAACACACATACACATACACACATGCACACATACACACATACACATATACACATGCACACATACACACTTGCACGCATACACGTACACCACCGTACGCACAAACACTCATACACACATACACACGTACACACTCACACGCATACGCTCCTATACACTTACACACACCTACACATACACACATGCACACATACATACGTACACACAGACACACATACACACATACACGTGCGCAGACACACAGACACACAGACACACATACACACATACATACATGCATACACACAGACTCTTACACACATACACATACACACATGCATGCACACATGGACGTATCCACACATACACATACATACACATACATACACACATACACGCATACACACATGCATACGTACACATATACACATACACGCATAAACATATACAAATGCGCACATACACGCATGCACAGATACACGCGTCTGCCCATATACACACACCCATGCCCATGCTATTGCATCTCGATGTGCGCCGAGTGTGTCTGTCTTGATGTTTGGCGTTTGCTTTCTCTTGCTTTGCGTTGTTTTTCCTGCAATAATCCACGCCTTTGCGCCGTCTGTGCGCTTCCAGCAGAGCGCGTGTCTGGTTGCGAGCAGTTAGGCTAGCCGCGAGACCTTGGGCCAAGGTGCCTGGGTCTTCTTGGGGGCTCGCTCGGGCCGAAGTGTTTGGGCTTCGCGGGCGCCCTCCAGGGCGCCTTGGGGCGCGGCGCGACGAAGTGCGCCTCGCGCGGCGGACCTCGGCGGCCCCGCGGGGGCAAGCCCTGTGGGGCATGCAGTTTCAGGCTGCCACTGGTTTCTTCTTCCGAGCCTTGACCAGGGGCTGTCCGAAGGCTGGGGCGCGCGCAAGCAGAGAAACAAGCCGGCCAGGTGGGGCGGGGCAGCAACGCCGAGCGCGGAAGAAGAGGGAATGGCACCCGGGGCGGGGGGCGCCCGCTCGGGGATCGCGAGATGGGGCCGCCGGGGGCCGACGCCGAGACGACTGTCGCGACCCAGGGTGGATTGGCTGCTGGCAGTGGAATCAGGGGCGCTGGCGCGCGGGCAAGAATGCGTTCGGGGCTCGCGGGGAGGGCCCTGCTGGCGGGCGCCGGGAGGTGGCGAGAGGGGGGCGAGGCGGATTCAATCCTCGCAATTCTCACGTCGGTCACGCCATTCGCGTCGTGGAACACATCCACACTTGACGCTGAAGATCTGACCGGGGGCAGGGCCGCCTGGCGGGGGCGGAACGCGCGCCCTGGAGGGCGCGGCGTTGCCGATGCGCGGTTCGTCCGTCGCGGTCGGGCCCGTCAACTGGCGGGCGCGGGTCGGTGTCAGCGCGGAATGTGTTGGCGCGCGCCATCGCATGCCCACGCGCGCCCGCGCGCGCATGCGCGAATGCGCGCGCGCACTCGCGCAAACGCACGCACGAACGCAAGGTCACATGCGCGCGCGCGCACGCGCACGCACGCGCGCTTACGCGCGAACGCAAACGCTCGCGCGCGCACGCACGAACACGCGCGCACATGCGCGCGCACGCGCAGACACGAACGCACGCACCCACGCACGCGTCCACGCACGCACGCGCACAAATGCACACGCGCACACGCACGCGAACACACGCACATACACGCGCACACGCGCCTACGCCCACATCCACGCCCGCGCCCACGCCCACGCCCACGCCCGCACCCGCACCCACAACCCACGCGCACACGCACACGCACACGCACGAGCACGCGCGCGCACACACGCACACGCACACGCACACGCACACGCACGCGCACACGCACACGCACACGCGCACACGCACACGCACACGAACACGCACGCGCACACGCACACGCACGCGCACGCGCACACGCACACGCCCGCGCACACGCATACGCACACGCGCACGCACACGCACACGCACACGCACACGCACACGCACACGCACTCGCACACGCACTCGCACGCGCACGCGCACACGCACGCGCACGCGCACGCGCACGCACAGCGCACGCACGCGCACACGCACACGCACACGCACACGCACACGCACGCACGCACACGCACACGCACACGCACGCACACGCACACGCACACGCACACGCACACGCACACGCACACGCACACGCACACGCACACGCACACGCACACGCACACGCACACGCACACGCACACGCACACGCACACGCACACGCACACGCACACGCACACGCACACGCACACGCACACGCACACGCACACGCACACGCACACGCACACGCACACGCACACGCACACGCACACGCACACGCACACGCACACACGCACACGCACACGCACACGCACACGCACACGCACACGCACACACACGCACACGCACACGCACACGCACACGCACACGCACACGCACACGCACACGCACACGCACACGCACACGCACACGCACACGCACACGCACACGCACACGCACACGCACACGCACACGCACACGCACACGCACACTCACACGCACACGCACGCGCACACGCACACGCACACGCACACGCACGCGCACACGCACGCGCACGCACACGCACGCGCACACGCACACGCACACGCACACGCACACGCACACGCACACGCACACGCACACGCACACGCACACGCACACGCACACGCACACGCACACGCACACGCACACGCATACGCACACGCACACGCACACGCACACTCACACGCACACGCACGCGCACACGCACACGCACACGCACACGCACGCGCACACGCACGCGCACGCGCACACGCACGCGCACACGCACACGCACACGCACACGCACGCGCGCAAACACACACACACAACCACACACAGACACACATACACACACGCACACGCACACACACACACACAGGTTTGCTTCCCGGCTGGCTGGTTCAAGACAGCGATTTGAACAGCGTGCGCGGTAAACGGTCGATAGGTGGTAGCCATCGTAGGGCTGCATGTGCAGAGACACACACACACACTCGTTTTGGCCGACCCCCCCCCTTGCTTCCACCTTGAGAGGGAGGTCCCCACTTTCCTGGAGCCCCCCCCCTGGGTCTCCCGAGGCCCCCAGAGGCCGAAACAAATGCCCTCCACAAGCTCTCCCACCCCAAAAAACGTCCACTAAATTCAGTCATCGGTCCTCGACCCTTGCCCCCCCTTCGATCCTCGATCATCCTCCTCGATCCTCCGTCGCCCTCGATCTTCGGTAATCCTAGTCGATCCTCCCTCGATCCTTCTCGATCACCCTGTTTTTGTTGATCCTTGAACCTCATCCATCCTCGATCCTCCCTCGAGCTTCGATCCTCCATCGTTTCTCCTTGTCTCGTCGATCCTCATTCGATCACCAATCCTCCCTCGATTCTCGATCCTCCGTGCATCCTCGATCCTCTCTCGAGCCTCGATCCTCGCGCGATCCTCATCCTCGATCCTCCCTCGAGCCTCGATCCTCCTCGACCCTCGATCATCCTCCTGGATTCTCGATCCACCCCTCAATCCTCGACACTGCCTCGACCCTCCCTTGACCCTCGACCCTCCCTCGATCCTCGATCGTCCTCCGTCGCTCCTCGACCCCCCCCCTCGACCCTCGACTCTCGACCATTCCTCGAACCTCGACTCCGATTCGACTCTCGATCCTCCCTCGCTTCTCGACCCTCGACCACGATTCTCGACCCTCCCTCGTCCCTCGACCCTCCCTCGTCCCTCGACCCGCCCTCGATCCTCCCCCGATCCTCGACCCTCGTGGTGACCCGGGGCCACGCCTCCCCCAAGGAAGGCCGACCGCCTCGGCGGCAGCTTCGGCCCCGCGGCGGCCCCCGCCGTGGAGGCGGTGGCGCGGCAGGCCCCCGGGGGCGCGACGCGGGGTTGGCCGCCCGCCGCCCCGCTGCTGCTGCTCCTCCTCCCCGTCGTCCTCCCCGACATCGCCATCATCGCCATCAGCATCAGCATCAGCATCAGCATCACCACCACCACCACCACCATCATCATCATCATCATCATCATCATCATCATCATCATCATCATCACCACCATCATCATCATCATCAGCATCGTCAGCAGCAGCATCATAATCACCATCATCATCATCAGCAGCATCATCATCAGCAGCATCACCATCATCATCATCACCATCACCATCATCATCATCATCATCACCACCATCATCGTCATCATCATCATCGTCATCATCATCAGCCGCATCATCATCATCATCATCGTCGTCATAATCATCATCATCGTCATCATCAACTGCATCATCATCAACTGCATCATCATCATCGTCGTCGTCATCATCATCAGTAGCATCATCATCATCCTCATCATCACATGCAGCAGCAGGATCACCATAGCATTATCATTATGAGCACGGTCTTCATCACTCATCATCATCAGCCGCAGCATCATCGTGCTCGTCGTCGTCATCATTGTCATCATCGTCATCATCGTCATCATCGTCATCGTCATACTCGTCGCTCTCATACTCCTCCGTCCCATTATCCTCCATCCCTCTTCCTCATACAATGTCTTCCCTGTCGCACCACCAGACGTGTCCGTGGGCTGGGCTGGGCGTTTCGATCGAAACTTTCTCACACTTGGCTATCCTGACGCTTACAGCGTCCAACAGGTACGTACACGCATTGAGGGGCGTCGTTTTCAAAATGTTGTTCTCGCATTTGCGCCACATTCGTCCCAAACGCTTCAAACAATTGCACGGATGGAGGGGCCGGCACGTTTTCAGAACGGGTTTCGGTTCCGAGTGCTGTTCCACATTTCACCGCAAGCTCAGACATGGGAAACGGGCACAAGGGTAGAGCGTGGTTTTGTTTCGGCATGGAAGTGTAGTTTCGGTTGTCATGTGATCGTTTTTTATTCATTGTCTTGCCGATCGGCGCGGGCCCTCCCCCCCCGCCCGTTCCCCCCCCCCCATGGAGTAGATCTTGGCTGGTTTGGGCGCCTGTTTCGAGCAGCTGGAATCTCCCCCACAGGACGCACTGCTGCAAACCGTCGCATTAAGCAGAGGTCCAGAGCCAGACCCCCCTCGCCACCCTTCCGCCCAATGTCGAAACGCCGAAAAAGAAAACGCTCACCATGTGATGTGGTCCCCAGACGTCGGAAGTCGTGTCACGGCCACACGGGTACAGGGCGGTGCATGCTCACGGAGGGGTTGCCGTTGGGCATGCGTGTGCTCCCAGCCCCTCCTCGTAGCAGTTCTCAGTGGCTCGAGGGACGGAGGGCGGTGCAGCTCCAAACGGGGCTCATGCGTGGATTGAGGAGGAGGAGAAGGAGGGGGAGGGGAAGAGGAAGGGGAGGAGGAAGGGGAGGAGGAGGAGGAGGAGGAGCTTCCTATTATTATTATTAGCTTCCTATTATTATTATCATTATTATTATTATTATTATTGTTGTTTTTCCCAACACCCCTTGGTTGGGTATTCGTCTTGAATAGAACACTTCGGTCGCGTCCTCCCACCTCCTGCATCCTGCCTCCCGCCTCCTGTCCCCCGTGAGACCTCGCCGTCCCTTGGGGGGGGGGTGCGATCTGCGCAACTGTCGCCACTTTCGAGGGCTGCCGGTGGGTCCAGCAGAGTGAGGCACTGCGCAGATCTGAGCGAGACCTCGCCGTCCCTGGGGGGCTGCGATCTGCGACATAGTCGCCACTTTCGAGGGCTGCTCATGGGTCCAGCGGAGTGAGGCACCGCGCAGATCTGAGCGAGACCTCGCCGTCCCTGGGGAGGGGGGGGGCTGCGATCTGCGACATTGTCGCCATTTTCGAGGGCTGCTGGTGGGTCCAGCGGAGTGAGGCACCGCGCAGATCTGAGCGAGACCTCGCCGTCCTTTGGGGGCTGCGATCTGCGAAGCTGTCGCCACTTTCGAGGGCTGCTGGTGGGTCCAGCGGAGTGAGGCACCGCGCAGATCTGAGCGAGACCTCGCCGTCCCTGGGGGGCTGCGATCTGCGCAACTGTCGCCACTATCGAGGGCTGCTGGTGGGTCCAGCAGAGTGAAGCACCGCGCAGATCTGAGCGAGACCTCGCCGTCCCTGGGGGGCTGCGATCTGCGACATTGTCGCCACTTTTGAGGGCTGCTGGTGGGTCCAGCGGAGTGAGGCACCGCGCAGATCTGAGCGAGACCTCGCCGTCCCTGGGGGGCTGCGATCTGCGCAACTGCTGCCACTTTCGAGGGCTGCTGGTGGGTCCAGTGGAGTGAGGCACCGCGCGGATCTGAGCGAGACCTCGCCGTCCCTATCGCCATTTTCGAGGGCTGCTGGTGGGCCCAGTGGAGTGAGGCACCGCGCGGATCTGAGCGAGACCTCGCCGTCCTTTGGGGGCTGCGATCTTGGAAACTGTCGCCATTTTCGAGGGCTGCTCGTGGGTCCAGTGGAGTGAGGCACCGCGCAGATCTGAGCGAGACCTCGCCGTCCCTGGACGGGGGGGGGCTGCGATCTGCGACATTGTCGCCACTTTTGCGACTTGACGGTGCAGATCTGAGCGGGACCTCGCCGTCCCAGGAGGGCTGCGATCTGCGAAGCTGTCGCCATTTTCGACGGTTGTTGGCGGGTCCAGCGGAGTGGGGCACCACGCTGATCTGAGCGAGACCTCGCCATCCCTGGGGGGCTGCGAGCCTCACGAATGCCGCTCGCAGAATTAAGCGCCCATGTCAAATCATCCCCTCTGTATAACGTGCCCCAGGCTACTCGTGCCCCGCATTGCGCATGGGTTGGGTACGTTGCCAGGGTAATTCTTTAGCGTCGCCCAGTTTTGTCCTCAACAAGTACATGATGACGATGCTGCTGCTGCTGATGCTGCGGCTGATGATGATGAGTGATGAAGACCGTGCTCATAATGATAATGCTATGGTGATCCTGCTTCTGCATGTGATGATGAGGATGATGATGATGCTACTGATGATGATGACGACGATGATGATGATGTAGTTGATGATGACGATGCTGATGATGACGATGATGATGATGCGGCTGATGATGATGACGATGATGATGACGATGATGGTGGTAATGATGATGATGATGATGCTGCTGATGATGATGATGATAATGATGATGATGATGGTGATGGTGATGGTGATGGTGATGCTGCTGATGGTGATGCTGCTGATGATGCTGATGATGATGCTGATGATGATGCTGCTGATGATGATGATGACGATAACGATGATGATGATGATGATGATGATGATGATGATGATGATGATGATGATGATCATGATGATGATGATGACGATGACGATGATGATGATGATGATGATGATGATGAAGACGATGATGATGATGATGATGATGATGATGATGATGATGATGATGATGATGATGATGATGATGATGATGATGCTGATGATGATGATGATGATGATGATGATGCTGCTGATGCTGCTGCGTGATGCTGCTGATGCTGCTGCTGCTGCTGCTGCTGATGATGATGATGATGATGATGATGATGATGATGATGATGATGATGATGATGATGATGATGATGATGATGATGATGATGATGATGATGATGATGATGATGATGATGATGATGATGATGGTGGTGGTGGTGGTGGTGGTGGTGGTGGTGAGATGATGAGGAGGAGGAGGTGGAGGAGGAGGAGGAGGATGATAATTAATGATGATGTGGACCCATGGGGCGGTCGTCTTTCGAGGGCCTCCTTCCTTCTGTTCCCGCTTCCATTTTTCTTACGCAGGCCGCGAAGACAAGGCTCGCAGCGTCATTCCCACCTCCCTCCGTTTTCCCTCCTTCTGTCTCCTACCTGCTACCTGCCCGCCTATTGCCTGGCCTTCCATCTCGTCCTACCTGTTGGGTCTCCGGGGGCTGCGAGCTGCGACACTGTCGTCATCATGGCCACCCCACCTGAGAGTCCCGGTGGAGTGACGTCTTGTTCAGATCAGGATGAGGTCTCGTCCGCCCTGAGGGCTGCGACACAGACGCCACTTTCGTGGGCTACTGGGAGTCCCAGCGGAGTGACGCCTTATGCAGATCAGAATGAGGCCTCGCCCGCCATGGGGGCTGCAAGCTGCGCAACTGCTGTCACTTTTGGTGGGCTCCTGAGAGGTCCGGCGGAATGACGTCTTACAGTCAACCCGCACAGTGAGGATGGGCAACCTTCCCAAGGGCACCCTTGCATCCTTGCACCTTCGGCCCATCCCTAGCGACGGTCGCTGGCCAGCCTCGTTCGACAAAAGTCAGCATGGTCCTCCAAGGCCCTTGCATCCTTACCGCACATCCTTATGACCCGGTTTGACTGTAGGACCAAGAGGAGGAGGAGGACGAGGAGGAGGAGGAGTAGGACCAAGAGAGCAGGAGGAGGAGGAGGAGGAGGAGGAAGAGGACCAAGAGGAGGAGGAGGAGGAGGAGGAGGAGGAGGAGGAGGAGGAGGAGATGCACAGCGTATTAGAAAAGGAGGAGGAGGAGGTGGAGGAGGAGGAGGAGGAGGAGGAGGCCTCGCTCTCCCTGGGCGGCTGCGACTTGCGAAGCCTGTCGCCGCCCTCGTGGGCTCCACGGGAGCCCCGGCGGAGAGCGAGCCGCCTCGCCGACCTCCCTCGGGGACCTCTCTGCGCCGCCACGCTTCCGAAGGGACGTTTTGCCGCACGAGCGTGCTGGCGCCGTGCGTGCGCCCACGCGGGAAGCCACACGCTGCACTCGACGACGACGCCGACGCCGACGACGACGCCGACGACGCCGACGATGACGACGACGACGACGACGCCGACGCCGACGCCGACGACGACGCCGACGCCGACGACGGTCCTGCTTGATGCTTGACTGTGGACGAATCGCCCCCCCCCCATTCCGCGATGCCCGCGGCGCCGCCGAGAAGCGAGCCCGTTGAGCCATGTTGGGTCTTGTTGAGGCCTATTTCGAAGAAGAAAACACGCCATAAACATAAACTTTTGGCGCTCCGCGCAGATCTCTTGGATCGGCACCTGCTGGCGCCTCCGCGCCACCCTGGAGGAGGACGGGAGGGAGGGGGGGGGGAGGGAGAAAAGTTGCCCGTCCTTACGTCTGTAAGCAGTACTCCACGAACGCGTCCTCGCCCTCCTCTGCAGTGCTTGTAGTCCAGTGAGATGCCGTGTCCGAAAGAAACATCACGCATGAAAGATGCCAGCCGGTCGTCCCATCTTGTTGGCGGACGGCCTCGCGTCCTCGGGGCGCCATGCGTGCTCGCCAGTCTCCATCCGATAAATTTAAGTCGGGCCTGTCCTTCTACAGGGGGAATATTCAAACATAGTCAGCAAATAGCCTGGGGATTTTTTTTTGCGTATTGTTTGGCATCTTCTGGATATTTGTTGATTTCATTTGTCGTCCAAAATCCCCCTGTAGGGGGACAGGCCCGACCTAACGATAACTGCATGAACCCAATCAGCTTCTGAATCGACCGACTTCCGAGCAATTTTGAACAACAAGCGGCGGCAAAACAGAGCGCTCCAATTGTAAACAGAAAATTGCACCAAGGCATTTTTGACTCTGTCCCTCATGCGTCGCATAGTGTCGGCCCACTCTTCTCCGTCGACTCTTCTTCATCCAAAAATCAAGCGGAGCATGTTGTTTTGACTGACGTCTAGAGAACCCAGCTGCTGCCTTGTCAGAGGCAGACATGCCAGCCCAAACAATAAAGTCGGTGTTGCCACATATTGAAATAATTTGAGCATTGGGCGAACTGGCGCATTTTGGTCTGTGAGCGCGTGACGCTGTTCATGAAAGTGTTGCCAAGCTCGTCGAATTCGTTGTCTCAGTTCAGTTGTGGTGCGGTCCTTCAAGTTCGCCGACAACGTCTTCCCTAGATAGTTCTGCGTGTCCGTGCCGTTCATGACCCTAATAATGTTGTTTTCGACATCGATAAACGTGTATCCAGCCGTCTCCTCGGAAGTGAGAACGTTCGTCTTGTCTGGGCTCAGGTGCAAGCCAACGGCTGCCTACTCCTCCATCAACAATTCTGGCATGTTCGCCAGCTCGTCTGCCGACTGCGCGTATAACATCATGTCATCTGCATATCGAACACTCTTGGGGGGAACGGCTCGAAATGCCAATCCGCATTCCCCCTCTTGGGGCCGTCTTGGCGCTCGTTTTGGCCGTCTTGGGAGCCCCTGGGGCCGCCTTGCGGGCTCTTTGGGGGACCTAATGGACCATATTGGGTCGGTTTGGGGCCCCTGGGGCCGCCTTGGACGTTGTCAAGACGAACAAGGCGAGCATGCTGAAAATGCACGTTTTTCGAAGGGCATGGGGCGATGTGCGCCTCTCAGGCGGTCCTCTGGGAGCACCCGTGGGCCCTCTTCGGGGCATCGTGGGCCGCCTTCAGGCCATCGTGGGCCGTCATGGGACTATCCTGGGCCAGCTCGACGCTCTGTTGGGCTATCTTGGCGCTCTGTTTGGGCCCTCTTGGGTCGTCTTGGGGCTCACTAGGAGTTCTAGAAGCCCAGGAAGTCCCCCTAAGAAACAGTATTTCGGATCCCAGGGGGACTACAGCCACTGCAGCCATCGCGTAGCGATAGTTTTGGACTCCAGGGGAAAGGGAAAGGGATAGGGGGACAGCCAAATATATCACACGCCGTGTCACCTCAGGCAGTCGGGGGCCGGCGCATTAGTATCATCCCCACCTTCCTTTACTCCTAGTCATCCTCTTTGTAGAACCGATATCGGTCCAGACAACCTGCCAACGCGAATCTCAGACTCAGAGGAGAACGATACCCAAGACGAGAAGATAAGTTGCCCGCGCGAATTAAGTAGTGACTGTCGTCGTCTGAGTGAAACCTCCTCAAGGGTGTGGTTTGACATGCTGTACGTTATATTGCCGTGCTTTATAATTGGTTCAAGAAGTTATTCCGCCAACGTCAAAGCTGAGCTTAGAGGCCTCTGGAAGCCTCTTAGAGTCATCTTGGGGCCTCTTGGGGCCCGTTTGCAAGCCTTTGAATTCTTCTTGAGGCTTTTGCGGGGTCCTCTTTTGGTCAGGAGGGGGAAAAAAACACAGACACAATTAATCGTCGATTTTCCAGAAAATATAGGAAAATATGGGAAGTGGGGGGCGAGACAAAAAACCCAGAAAAGATTGGGAAATATGGGGAATCTCGTTATTCGTGTGTATTGATTTATGTGTCCTTGGGCCCCTTGATTTGGGGCCGTGGGGGCCCTCTCGGAGCCATCCTGGAGGCCATCGGTTCAGAAGGAGGGGTCCTCAATCAGGGTGCCCTGCGTGGTTGCCGACATTCGTATCTTGGGCCCTCTCGGAACGTTGTTGCGGCGCTCTTGGGGGCCTTCAGGGCTGTCTTGGAGCGCTCATAATCGAAAAGCACTTGGTCTCTTGGGTGCATTCTTTGGAGGCTCCGTGGCCACTTGGAGCCGTCTTGGGCCCCCATGGCCGTGTAGGAGCTCTTCCAGAGCCGTCTTGGAGAGCATCTCAGGCATTTGCGAGGCCTCCGAGAGTGGATTTAGAGGTCCGACGGGCTGGGGAGATGCGCCGGGGAGGTCGTGCACCTACCCGCCCGCCCTCAAACTGACTGCATTATGGACTGCTGAGAAGTGGGAGAGGGGGAGGAGGGCAGCCAATCACCTCACACGCCTTCTCACCCCTGGCCAGCTGGAGTCGCCAGGTCCGCGTTGGGTTGGGCTGTCTTGCTTGTCCTCGAGGAGTGGCAGGGCATCCCCTCACAGGGGGCCATGCCCAAGAAGCCTGGCGTTGAGAAGCCACCCCTCGGGCAAAGCCTCGTCGGGGCAACTGCTGCAATTGATTATCCGTAGCAGCATTGGGCTCCGTTTTCGGTTCGGATCTTGGTGCGGCGCGGCAGAGCTGCACGGGTTGCGAGGATGGGGGAGGGCGGTTTCGGCAAGGGCAAACCGGGTGAGAAAGGCAAGAAGGGTAAGAAGGGAAAGAAGGGCGGCAAGAAGGGTGCCGAGGAGAAGGAGTGGGTGCCTTGCACCAAGATCGGGCGCCTCGTGAAGGAGGGCAAGATTACGTCCATCGAGGATATATATTTGCATTCGCTGCCCATCAAGGAGTACCAGATCATCGACCAGTTCTTCGCCCCGGGCACGCTTAAGGACGAGGTGATGAAGATCCACCCTGTCCAGAAGATGTCTTCAGCTGGCCAGACCAACCGCTTCGTCTGCTACGTGCTCGTGGGCGACAACAACGGCCACATCGGGCTCGGCTCCAAGTGCTCCAAAGAGGTCGCCACGGCCATCCGCGGCGGTATCATCGCCGCGAAGCTGAGTCTCATCCCGGTGCGCCGCGGGTACTGGGGCAACAAGATCGGCTTGCCGCACACGGTGCCGATGAAGGTCGCAGGCAAGTGCGGTTCCGTGAGGGTCCGGCTGGTGCCAGCGCCGCGCGGGTCCAGCGTCGTGGGTTCCCCCGTGATGAAGAAGATGTTGGCCTTCTGTGGCATCCAGGACTGTTTCACCTGCTCCTGCGGACACACGAGGACGAAGGGCAATTTTATCAAGGCGACGTTCGACGCCTTGCGCGCAACATTCGGCTACCTGACACCCGACTTGTGGAAGCCTACGCACTTCATCAAGTCCCCGTTCCAGGAGTCAAACAGTGGCGAAGCGTCCTAGCTTTCCTATAGACCTACCAAAGAATGTTCAAATAACCTTTTGTGGCCTGCACGAAATGTTCGTAGAACATTTCTGGCTGATACTATCTTGCTTTAACACATACTGCTTATGTTTTATGGACATTGCTTTTGTGATTCGAACATTTTTAGGTTCTAAGATCATGTCGTGGTAGGCCTCTAGGAATGCCGGGACGGTCGGTCTCTGCTCAAAGGAGTGGTCCGACTACCTGGCCCAGTCCAAGGCCGCGTATTGACGAGGCACCCAGGCTCAGGGCTGCGAGGTGCAGGTAAGACCGCCGCACGAGGCAGGCAGGCGCTCCTATAAATACAAAGTGTGTACGCCGTCCTGTGTCCTGCCCTCCTCTTCATCTCCCAACATCAGCAAAGGTCAGGGGGGCGGAGGAGGGCAGGTGGGCGGGGAGGGCGGCAGGGAGGGCGGGGGAGAGGGAAACCGGACGCGGCCTTGTCCACAGAAGGGAGCAAGGGGGATGTCAAAATGCCCGCCCCCATCCCTCTCTTCCCTCCCTCTTCCTCCTCCTCCTCCTGGACCATGAAGTGGAGCGAGGGAGGAGGAGGAGGAGGAGGAGGAGGAGGAGGAGGAGGAGGAGGAGGAGGAGGAGGAGGAGGAGGAGGAGGAGGAGGGCTGGTAGAGGGGCGATATCCACGACGCTACGCGCCGCGCGACCTCTGCGGCCAATTCTGTGCGCGCCTGGCGATCAGAGTCCTTCTCACCCTCCTCATCCTCGGAGGTTTCCGAAGCTTCTCGGGTATGTTCCAAGGTTTTCGGGAATGTTCGAGGGTGTTCTGACGTCCGCAGAAGGTTCTTGGAGTTGCTCGAGGTGGTTTAGCAATTATTCACGCTTCGCGCACGCAAACCACCTCATTCAGAAACCATGCCCATGAGAGTTGACGGGAAAATGGACGACGCGACACATGTAGCGAAACAAAGCGGACAACCAGGTTGAACAGAGAGATCTCTGGGAGCAAGAGGGTGGTAGAGCCTCTTCGGGGCATCCCTGGGGCCCGCGTGGAGGGAAGGGGAGAGGAGGAAGAGGAGTAGGAGGAGGAGGAGGAGGAATACGACGACGCCGACGACGACCATGACCACGACCACGACCACGACCACGACCACGTCCACGACCACGACCACGACGACGGCGACGCGGAAGAGGAGGAAGAGGACAAGGAAAACGATGAGGGCAAGGAGGAGGAGGACAACGAGGACGAGGACAGCGCCCTCAAACTCGCCTCTTGGAGCCTTCTTGGGGGTCCGTTGAGAGCCCTTGTTCACCCTCTTTGCGCCATCTTCGAGGCCATCGATCAAAGGAGGGGGGTCCCATATTTGCCCCCTTCCCCCCCCCCGCCGCCATCACAATTGCCACTTTAGCGGCCCTCTTGGGCCGCTCGTGGGTGCTCTTGGGGCCGTCTGGGGGGCGGGCCCTTGGGCCAGTATAGGGCCTCTCTTGGGCCATATGGGGGCCATCATGAGGCCTCAAACGTGCATCGGACGCGAAAAGGCGAGACGTAAAACCACAGTGAGTTGCCTTTGGTGTTTGAACGAGTGTGGCCTCTTGGGGGGGCCCTGCGGGGAATCCGAGAGCACTTTGGAACCGTCTTGTGGCCTTCGTCGGGCCGCTTGGAGGTATGTCGGAAGCTATATGGAGCCAGCGTCGGTTATCCTGAGTCGCGTTGGAAGCCATCCTGGGAGCATTGGAGGCTCTCTTGGAGCCATCTTGGGCGAACCAGGACCCTCCAGCACATCGCGGCCCGCTCCAGAAACCTCTGGGAGGGGAGGGGGAGGGTACCCCTCCCCGAAGGGAAGAGGGTTTTCGGACGAGGAAAGAAAGAACTCGTTAGACCGTATTAGCCCCAAGGGCGGGTGGGATTGATCGAGTGTTTTCCAGAGGTTCCCAGGTCAGCCGCTGCCCTCTCCGTCAACTTGATTCTTCCCATTCGGCTACCCCTGCTAATCAATCGGGAGGGGTACGGAGGAGGAGAGGAGGAGAAGGAGGAGAGGATGGACCGAGGACGAGGGAGGATCAGGAAGACCAGGAGACGGGGGTAACAGAACATAGATTTGGAGGGGGGACGGGTCATAATTCGGGGGAGGGGGGAGGAGCAGGAGCACGGATAGGAGGATATGCTTTTGGAGGGAGAGGAGAGTAGGAGGTGTGTGATGAGTAGGGAGACCGGAATGCACCAAGGTTGCACCAAAGATGTTGCGACACAACCTCCTGTGCCAAGTCCCCTCCTCACAGGTCCCTGCAAGGTTGCATCTTCACTGCAAGAAGAGCCCCCATTGACAGACGAGCACCTGATGCGCATGCCACTCGGGCGAGAGGCCCGTTTTCAAGAGGAACCGCCCCCCCCCATCCGTGAAGCTGCCGCACCAGCTTGTATCTCTGGACGCGGGACCGGAGGAAGTCTCGAGCGACGCTCCGCCCGTGCCGCTCTGCATAAGCTGAAGCTAAAGCTGGCGAATAATTGCGTCGGACAGCGACTCGTGGTCAGAACTGGAGGATAGTCATGTGCACCGTACAGGCAGAAACGGGTCTACCCTCGACTGAATGGGCGGCGCCCCGGCGCCCACTCCCAGCCCCGCGCGCGGCCGCCCACGGGCGAACTGGGAGTCGCCTCGCCTCGCCTCGCCTCCTGGCCATGCAATCTGAGGAAGTATCAAGCGAGATCCCCTTTTTGAGACGGAGCCGCCCTCCGTCGTTGAAACAGCTACAAACTGTGAAAGAGCGCCTCCTGGCGCTGCTGGCATGGGGGGTTCATCCCCTCCTCCACTCCCAAATAAAAGCGAGGGGGGAATGGGGGAGGTCCAGAAACCCCCTCCCCCCCACGGAAGATTATTCGGGGGGCGTCCAGGAGCCCCCCCACGGCTGCCGCCGCCAGCAGACGACGACGCTGACGAGAACGACGACGACGACGACGACGACGACGACGACGACGACGACGACGACGACGACGACGACGACATCACAAAACGACGCCGCTGGCGGCAAACGCCGACGACGACGACGTCGCTACTGGCAAACGACGACGTTGTTAACGACGGGCGAAAACGACGCCGACGCCCACGCCGACGCCAACGCCGACGCCGACGCCGACGAAGACGAAGACAAAGACGATGATGATGATAACGATGACGAAGAGGATGGTGATGATGACGATGACGATGCCCATGCCGATGCCTTGAGCCGCCCCGACCTATCGCCCCCTGGCCAACTCTTCCATGATGGCACAGAACATAGAATTCGGTAGTGCACAATAGCAGGAGCATACTTTCAGACGTATGCAGTTCGAGTTGCATAACTTCGGAAATTCCTATATGTGTTATTTCTGTGCCGGGAACTCCCCGGGAGCTTCCCAGGAACTCCAGCCGGGGGCGAGGAAAAGTGCGCCCGCGTGGGATTTCTTCGACATTTCTGTGCCAAGAATTCCCTGGGAACTTCCAGGAAAGTGAATCATAAATTCAAAAATATGAAATCATGAGTTAATGCGTGAGAGCTTCGCCCCCTGCCGCCGGCCCCCTCTCTCGGATAAAGGATCATGCAAGAGATATGTCGTGAGGTCTGGGCGCCGTCTTGCAGCAGTGTCGGAACCTCATGCGAGGATGAGAAGTAATCGGCAAGAAAGATGTAGATTCAGATGATTTTGTTGAATTCGGTGTTGCATTTTGGACTTGCCACCGCATGCTGTGTATTGGAGGTCCTCTTGGAAAGACTGGGGGCTGCTTGAGGCTAGAGTGGGCAAATTCGCTCGGCTGGGGCGGTCTTCGGCCTCCTCGGCGTTTGTTGCAAGGTGCTGAGGCCTCGGGGGCGCGAGCGCGCTGTAGTTGACCAAGAATTCTGGTCTCGTGGGCGCGAGTCTTGTGGAAGTTGCAAAGGGCTCATGGCCTCGGGGACGCAAGCATTGTATGATTTACGACGGTTTGTGGCCTCGGGGACGCGGCAATGGAGTACCTTACTAGGGTTTATGGCCTCGGGGACGCGAATATTATATAATTTGCGAGGGGTAGAGTTTCGGGGACGCGAAGAGTACACCGCACTCACTTCTATACCCCTGGGTGGGGTGTATGTGCGGCCGTTTTTGCGCGGGCATGTGCGTGCATGTGCGCAGCATGTGCCAGGCATGTGCCCGGCATGTGCGGGCGCTTTGGGATGAATGTCCTACTGTGCGCACGTGCCCGGGCATGTGCGGAGTTATGTGCACTGGGTTTTGCTGCATGCATGGTAATGCACATGCCCGCGCATGTCGACGGACATGCCCGCACATGCCCGCACATGCGGAACTTGTGCGAACGTCGCATACTCGTCAATGGTACATACACGCGCATGCGCTGAATCCTGCGCCCGCACATGTTCGCACATGCCGATGCACATGCACGCACATGCCCGCACATGCGGAGCATGTGCGGAACTCGCAGATCGGTCAGTGGCACATGCACGTACTCGCCTGTATGGCCTCGGGGACGCAAGCATTGTACAACTTAAAAAGGTTTATGGCCTCGGGGACGCGAACATTCTGGAAATCACGAGGGTTTATGGCCTCGGGGACGCATTTGGTGAGTAATCTACGAGGGTTTATGGTCTCTGGGACGCGAGCATGGTGTAATTTACGAGGGTTTATTCACGAGTGTAATTTACTGAGGATCGTGGCCCCAGGGGCGCGGATCGTGGCCTCGGAGGCGCGAATCTCATGTATTTTTACTTGACCCAGGGCCTTCCCAGAAATTCTGAGAACCCTCCTGGGGGGTGGTAGCCAGGGTCCTTTTCGGCTCCCCCCCCCTCGCGCGGACAGTAACAATTTACAGTGGGAGGCAGAAAGCAAGACTGTAACAGTGGAAATAGAACTGGTGCAGGGCACTGGAAACTGGAACTGGCCCTCGCAGCCTGGTGGCCCCGCGAGTGGGCCGGCGGATTTCTATGTTTTGTATTGTTCTTCCGATTCTGGCCCGCTTAAAATTGGGCGATCGATCGGGATGTTTCAAGCGATGATGATGCCGATGACGACGACGACGACAAGGAGGACGACGACGACGACGACGATGATGATGATGATAATGATGATGGTGATGGTGATGATGGTGATGCTGATGATGCTGATGATGACGACGATGACGATGATTATAGATTATGATGACGATTGTGATGATGGAGATGATGATGATGATGATGATGATGATGATGATGATGATGATGATGATGATGATGATTAGTGTGATGATGATGATGATGATGATGATGATGATGATGGTGATACGTATCATGATGATGTTGATGCTGATGATGATGATGATGAGGATGGTGATGACGCATGCTGATGATGATGATGCTGATGATGATGATGGTGATGATGAGGGGGGCGATGAGGAGGATGAGGATGAGGATGATGAGGATGATGATGCATGGTGATGCGGATGAGGATGATTCTGGTATTGGTGATAATGATGCCCAGGATGAGAATGGTGATGATGACGATTACGATGACAGTGACTCTAAGGATGATGATGACGACGACGATGATGATGCTGATGACTATGATGATGATGGTGATGATGATCAGGGAGATGATTGTACTTTCGCTTATGATGGTGATGGAAGTGAAGATGGGGATACGTATGATGATGATGATGATGATGATGATGATGATGATGATGCTGATGCTGATGATGATGATGCTGATGCTGATGCTGATGCTGATGCTGATGCTGATGCTGATGGTGATGATGATGATGAAGAAGATGATGATGATGATGATGACGAGGATGGTGGTGGTGATGATGCTGGTGCTGAGGACTATGATGATAATGATGTTGCCGATGATGAATATGACAGAGGAGAGGAGGATGCGGATGCGGATGACGATGATGATGAAGACTTTGATGATGTTTATCATGGTGATGATGGTGTTGAGGATGTTGATGGGGATGCTGATGATGAGGATGAGGATGATTGTGATGATGCAGATGACGAGCATGGTGCTGATGAAGATGATGATTATGCTGCTGCTGCTGATGAGGATGATGATAGCGATGGTGGTCATGATTCTGCTGATGATAAGGATGAAGATGATGATGATGATGATGATGATGATGATGATGATGATGATGATGATGATGATGATGATGATGATGATGATGATGATAGTGATGGTGGTCATGATGATGCTGACGGTAAGGATGGATATGAGAACTGTGATGATCCTGAGGATGAGGATGCGGATGACGATTATGACAACGACGACGAGGATCGTGGTGATCATGATGAGCGATGACAGTGCTGACCATGACGATGATGGTGACGGTGATCGTGATTGTGATGACGATGACGATGGTGGTGGTGATTGTGATGATGCTGATGATGATGGTTTGCCAGCGGCCTCCGTCTTTGTCCATCGTCGTCGTCGTCCGTCTTCGTCGTCGTCCTCCTCCCCATCAGGGTCCGCCGCCCGACCTGACCCGCCCATTGGGGTCCAGCCGCCCGACCCGACCCGCCCGTTAGGGCACGCGCGTGCTAATTCGATAACGCATCGTACTTTAATGTCTCGCCTGCACGACCCGACCTGCCCGTTAGGGTCCGCCCGCCCGACCCGATCCGCCCGTTAGAGTTTGCGCGTGCTAACTCGATGATGCGTCATATTTTTTGTCCCACCCACCCGATCCGACCCGCCCGGTAGGGTCCGCCAGCCCGATCCGACCCGCTTGCTCGGGTCCGTCCGCCCGCGACCCGCCCGTCAGGGTCCGCCCGCCCGTCTCGACTCGCCCGTCAGGGTCCGCCCGCTCGACCCGACCCGCCCGTTAGGGTTCGCGCGTGCTATCTCGATGACGCATCGTACTTGAATGTCCAGCCTTATCGACACGACCCGCTCGTTGATGTCCGCCCGCCCGACCCGACCCGCCCATTAGGGTCCGCCCGCCCAGTGGTGATGTCGATCAATGACGACGAGGGTCGGGATGACGATGAAGAAGGTGATGGTGTTAATGGCGATGATGCTGGTGATGATGATGCCGGTGATGTTGATGGCGATGATGCTGTCGATGATGATGAGGATAATGATAAGGATGATAGTAAAGATGACGATGGCTACGACGACAAAGGCGACGATGACGATGGCGATGATTATAATGGTGATGATGATGCTGAGGCTGATGATGATGCTGAATGCTGATGCTGATGCTGATGATGATGATGCTGATGATGATGATGCTGATGATGATGATGGTGATGATGAGGGGGGCGATGAGGATGATGACGACGATGATGATGCTGACGATAATGATGAGGATGATGATGATTATAATGATATTAACGGCTATGATGACGACGATGATGATGTTGATGGTATTGATGATGATGAGGAGGATGATGTTGGAGGAGATGGTGATGATGATGCTGATGTTGATGGTGATCAAGAAGGATATGGTTGTGATAATGATAATGGCGAGGGTGAGGATGATGATGATGATGATGAAATTGACGCTGCTGATGATTGTTAAGCTTGAACGGGCGATGATGATGACGATTTTGATGCTTATGGTGATGGTGCTGATAATGGGTAAGATGTTGAGGACTGTCTGTGGCCATGATGAAACTGCTGACGCTGACGATGAGGACTATGATGAGAATGCTGTTGGTGATGCTGATGATGATGACGATAACGCTGACGATACGGATGACGACTCTGACGATGATGAGTATGATGATGTTGCTGATCGATTCTCTATGAGTATGAGTATGATGACGATGGCGATGGTGATGGCGTTTCTGATTATGCTGCTGATGTTTGTGATGGCGATGCTGCTGATGATGATGATGACGATGATGATGTGGTGGTTTGCTGGCGGCTTTCGTCGTCGTTCGTCGTCGTTGTCGTCGTCTCATTCTCCTCGTGGTCTTCGTCGTCGTTGTCGTTGCCGTTGTCGGCGTCGGCGTCGTCGTCATCGTCGCCGTCCGTCGTCGTCGTCGTCGTCGTCGCTTTCGTCGTTGTCGTCGTCATTGTGATAGTGGTTTGCTGGCCTCCTTCGTCGTCGTTCGTCGTCGTCGTTGTCGTCGTCGTTGTCCTTGTCGTCTTCGTCATCGTCGGCGCCGTTGCCGTTGTCGTCAGCGTCGGCGTCGTCGTCGGTGTCGTGGTCGTCCGTCGTCGTCGTCGTCGTCGTCGTCGTCGTCGTCGTCGTCGTGGTCGTGGTCGTCGTTGTCGTTGTCGCTGTCGTCGTCGTCGTCGTCGTCGCTGTTGTCGCTGTCGTTGTCGTCGTCGCTGTCTGCGTCGTTTGCCGCCGTCGTCGTCGTTGTCCTCGGCTGCAGCCGCCGCCGCCGTCGCCGCCGCCGCCGTCGTCGTCGTCGTCATTGTCCGCGTCGTTTGCCAGCGGCGACGTCGTCGTTGTCGTCGTTGTCCTTGTCGTCGTTGCCGTCGCCGCCGCCGTCGTTGTCGTCGTCGTCGTCGTTGTCGTCGTTGTCGTCGGCTGTCGTCGTCGTCTGCGGGCGGCGGCGTTGGCCAGGGGGGAGGAGGGATTCTTCACCCCTCCAACAACAGTTTTTGGGGCTTCTGGCCCCGCCCAGTCGTATTTTCTCAGGGGGGGGAGGAGTGTTGTCGGAGGGGGGGGGGGTCGGGAATGGGGGGAGGGGTTGGGGAGGGGGGGGTCTCCAGGTTTGAGATCTTGAACTTCGGTAGAATTTTGACGATCCCTGATAGGGTCTCACCCGGAGAATTAACTTGTTTGCAGGAACCATCACAATCCCATCAGGATCCACAAGTCCACCTGGAGAATCAACCCTTTTCCCGGAGAGTCAGTTTTTTTCCTGGAGAACAAACCTCCCGCGGGGTTGGGGAGGGGGGGTCCCTTGGTGCCTGAGCCCACCCAGTGTTCAGGCCAGCGACGGTGGATTGCGCCCCTGTAAACTCTTGAACCGCAGGTGCGCGGTGCGAAGGTCATAGCCGCATTTTGGAAACGAATAGGCCTCGGCCTCCATCCTTACACAGTGGAGGCCCATGCCAAGAAACACCCTGCTTGCCTCCAGGGTGCCCTAGGTTTCTTGGGTTTCGATGGCTTTGCTGTTGAAAGCGTGACGTTCACGCACCAAAAATCAGGGGACGTTCTGGGGTCTCAGGGTTGGGTTTCTCGCGGAAGGTTTCTTGTGGACTAGCCTCCATAGTGTAATTGTTGCAAGTTGGCAAGACGAACACACGTGGCGCTAAGGCGCGACAGCCGCCTTTAGAACCCGTGCCGACCTGCATCCGAGCAATTGTTGCGAATGTTGCGCTGACTGTGTGCGGTGCCAGGGTGAGGGCCACATTTTGGAAACGGTTGCCCCACAGCCCTTATAACTGTTGCGAACTTTGAAGACGAACGTGCGCGGCGCTAGGGCGAGAGCCGCATTTTGAAAACGACCCGCCCTCCGTCCGTGTAACTGTTGAAGCTTCGTAGTTGGAGGGTGGATGCAAATGCGAAGGAAGTCTCCAGCGAAACGCCCAGCCTCGCCTACGGACACGTCTTGGTGGTGCGACAAAGGGAGTGATGATAAATAACAGGGATGGAGGGTATTAGCTCGGAGGGGGAGGGGAGGAGCAACACGAGGAGGAGGAGGAGGAGGAGGAGGAGGAGGAGGGGAACGAGAGGGAGAGGGATCACGACGAGGAAAAATAGAAGGACCATCAGAAGGAAAGGGAAGAGGAAGACAGTGTCAGAATACACAAGGAGGGTGCCGCGAGAGAGAGCCCCAGGAGGAGAAGTCGACTGCGGGGCAGCAAGGCCCAGGCACAGACAGTCCGGAGTTCAAGAAGATCATGCAGGAGGGATTCATTGCCGCCTCCTCTGCTTCCCCCTCTTATGCATCCTTTGCCTCCCTCTCCTCGTCCGCCTCCTGCTCCTCCGCTGCTTCCTCCCCCTCCGCATCGTCCCCCTTCTACTGTCTCTTTCTCATTTTGCTCCTTCTCCGATGTCCTCATTCACACCCTTGTGTTGTTAGAATCCTGCGCCCTATCCACCTTGTGCCTCCTCCTCCTCCTCGCACTGATTCTCGTCACCATCACCCGTTTGTTTTTGCCCGCGCCCGTCACATTGCAAAGTTGTGGATTTTCATTCGTGCCCTCCTCAAGTTTGACATGACTTGTTCGGTGTTCGGAGCAATCTCATCATCCTTGTCGGCCTTTCCTTCTAAATTGTTCCTGATTCTTCTCATTATTCTGCCTTGTCCAGCAGTCGTTCTCCCTGCTCCGTCACTGGTCTCATTTCCATTCCGTTTGCCTTAGTGGCATCGGTACTATTGGTCCTACAAGCGGCGAACACGTTGGAGCATTTCGGACAAGCGTTCAGCTAGTTGCGTTTGGCAAAGACGTTGAACTTGATGCCTTTACACTCCAGAGATGAGCACTTTGGAGTTGAAAAGGGAGACGCCAATTTTGCAACTGACGTTTTATACTCGTCTGATATGTGGGCTAGGGGTGAAAATGCCTCGGACAGCTATTGGTGTTATAGGTTGTCTTTTTCTGTGTGTGTGGATATTCGCTTAGGAGGTTTATCCCCAAACAGTGTTTGCACTTAGAGTTGCTGATGTGTCTTGTGAAGTATTTTGATGGGTCCGTCGAGGTTTCGCCGTGTCGCCGCCTCGTGGACACCTCGTTGCCGCCCACTTCAATAGGTCCGTCGAGTTTTCGCTGCGTCGCCGCCCGTTGTCGCCTCGTTGCCGCCCACTTGGGTGGGTCCGTCGAGGTTTCGCCGCGTCACCGCCCGTTGCCGCCTCGTTGCCGCCCACTCGGGGGTTCCGCCGAAGTTTCGCCGCGTCGCCGCCTTGTTTCCGCCCACGTGGAGGATCCAGCGAGGTTTCGCCGCGTCGCCGCCAGTTCCCGCCCGTTGTCGCCTCGTTGCCGCCCACTTGACGGGTCCGTCGAGGTTTCGCCGCGTTGCCACTTGGAGGATCCGTCGAGGTTTCGCCGCGCTGCCGCCCGTTACCGCCTCGTTTCCGCCCATTTGGGCGGTCCGTCGAAGATTCGCCGCGTCGGCGCCCACTGCCGCCTCGTTGCCGCCCACCTCGCTTGGGGGCTCCGTCGAGGTTGCACCACATAGCTTGCACCACACAGTTTACACCACGTAGCTTGCACCACATTGTTGCATCATATAGCTCACACATCTACAGTGCAGTAAGTTATTGTTTTTGGTCCACGCTGGCTAACATGACAGTCATTGTGTGGGCCTCTCGGGAACACTTTCGGGCGTCCTGGGGTCTTGAGCGCTATGATTCTGCCGAGCTCTCCCGAAGCAGCTGGGCTTGTGTATTAAACATTGTATTCATATTGTCTTCGAGTTATCGGTTGTCGTGGCGGTACTCTGCCATATTGAGCATGTGTGGTGTTGGCTTGGGGCTTGGGTTCTTTGGGGTCGCCTTAGCGTACATTCCCAGCCGAGAGCCCTCAGAAAGACGCGAATTAGGAGGATGTGGATGAGGATAAAGAGGAGCGACACAATAATGTAGGAGAAGGCGACGAAGATGGGGGGGGGATACCGCTTCGTGCCCCTACCAGCCCATCCGGACACTATGCCCAGGGGAGTTGCCCTGAACGGGGGGAGCGTGGCATCATTTGGAGTTCTCGGGGGCCTGTGTAGGCCAGAAGCCCCTTGGATGCTTCCTTGGGTCTCTTGGGGAAGGTCTCTTGAGGGCCTCTTAGGGGCCTCTTGGAGCTCATTGGGGGCCTCTTGCCAGCTTGCGAGAAATCTTGAAGTGTCTTGGGCGCCTGTTGGGGTCCTCTTGTGGCTCCCTGAGAGGTCTGCGGGCCACCTTGGAGGCCGGCGGATACAAAAAGGAGGGCGGCGCCGAATAGCGTCGCCCCCCCCCTCCCCCCCCACCAGAAGGCCAAAGCTGGCCAAACACCAGAGGGAACGAGTGGCACACGTGCCTTATCTCTTGTACGAGGGAGGGCGCGGGCCGGGCGAGGCGGGGTGAGGAGGGAGGTTCTTAGGGCCATCCCAGTGCTCTCCTGGGCCATTATGGTGATCATGACGAGGAGGAGGATGAGGAGGAGGAAGAGGAGGAGGAGGAGGAGGCGGAGGAGACGGAGCAGGCGGAGGAGGAGGAGGAGGAGGAGAAGGAGGAGGAGGAGGAGGAGGAGGAGGAGGAGGAGGAGGAGGAGGAGGAGAGGGAGGAGAGGAGGAGGAGGAGGAGGAGGAGGAGGAGGAGGAGGAGGAGGAGGAGGAGGAGGCAGGGGGGCCCAGGGGGGCGACGATCGAACGAGCGAACGACGACGAACACAAGTGGCACGCGTGCCCTGGCTCTTGCACAGAGGAGCTGCGAAGGACAGGAGGCTCCCGCCTCCTTCCTTCAGGAGGGATTTCTTTCGGTGTAGTTTTCTAATCCGAATCCGGTTTTGATGGTCTTGCGGCCTGAAATGGTTGTTGGGGCGTGGGGCATAGGCTTGCGGCGTTGATGTCGACGACGACGACGACGACGACGATAACGTCGCGGCGGCGGCGGCGACGACGACGACGACGACGTCGACGTCGGCGACGAGGACGAGAACGAGGACGAGGACGATGACGAGGACGAGGTCGAGGACGAGGACGAGGACTAGGACGAGGACGAGGGTGGCGGCGACGACGACGACGACGACGACGACGACGACGACGACGACGACGACGGGGACGGAGACGAGGACGACGATGACGACACAGAGCGCCCTGGATCGGCACAGAGCGCCCTGCTGCTGATGCTCCTCCTCTTCTCCTCCTCCTCTTCTCCTCCTCCTCTTCCTCCTCGTCCTACTCCACAACTGCTCAATATGAATACTACTCTCCCTCTTCCCCTGATGACGGTTTGAAAATATTAGTCCCCCGTACTGTTTTTTCACACAGGATTCCCCGGAGTTGGGTTTTCGCCTGCATTTTTTCCAAAATGCTGCTCTCGCTGAGGCGCTGGCCTCATTTTCGGGCCCCGCTCGTTCCGAATCGTGCTCCCGCTGCAGCGCTGGCCTCATTTCCGTGCTTCCGCTCGTTCCGAATCGTGCTCCCGCTGCAGCGCTGGCCTCATTTCCGCGATTCCGCTCATTCCGACTCGTGCTCCCGCTGCAGCGCTGGCGTCATTTCCCGTGCCATGCCACGGCATGCAATGCAATGCTAGTTTGATGCTACGCTTTGCGGTGCTCTTCTACGCCATGCCATGCCGTGCTCTACAATGCATCGCGTACCCTTTCGGGATCATTGCCCTGCGCGACATCCGACTGTGCGAGTAGAGAGGGGATCTACGCCATGGTAAGGGATGGGAGGGAGGGGTAGGATGTCAGATCTGACGCGAGCTCACCTAGCTTGTCCTCCTCCCCCTCCCCCTCCTCCTCCTCCTCCACCTCCACCTCCTCCAGGACCAGGGGGGAGATCAGGGAGGCCTGGGGGGAGGCCTGGGTCCGGAAGGTTCGCGGCCCAGGAGAGGAGGGGTGGGGGAGAGGCGGGCGGCTTGGGGCAAGGACCATGCGGGGCCAGGGGGGAAGTCACGGAGGCGGGGGGAGGGGGGGGGACGACGAACGGGAGGCCGGGAGGGGGGGAGGACGACGAACGGGAGGCCAGGGGGGGGGGAGCGAGGGGGGCTGGGTCCAGGGAGTGGGTTGGGGAGGCCAGGGGGGGAGAGCGAGGGGAGCTGTGGAGGGCTGGGTCCAGGGCAAGGCCAGAACGGCCAGGGGGGAGGACGAACGACGAACGAACGACGACGCAAATAAAGAGGTCCGAGCTCTAGAACACAGCTGTGCAAGAGAATAAAAGGCTCAAAAACAGCTGTGCAAGAGAATCAAGGCTTTTGCGGCTCAGAGGTGCTGCTCTGGGAGGCTAGGGGGAGGCGGCCCAGGGGGGCTGCCCTTGCAGGCGACTGAGACGCCAGATGGGGCCGCAGCGGCGCAGAGCCCAGGGAAGCCAGGCCAGGGGGGGCCAGGGGGTGGAAGCCAGGGGGAGGCCAGGGCAGGAGGACAAACGGCGACGAACGCCGAAAACCAAGGGTTCTGCAGCCCAGGGGCACTCCCCTGGGAGGCCCGAAGACCCCCACCCACCCACCCAGCCCTCCCAGGCCGTGGGGGAGCGGGGAAAGGGAGAGGGGGACAGCTAAAATCTCTTCTCAGGCGATCGCAAACATGGATCAAGGGGGTGTGGATTAGCGACGGGTCCCGTTTTTCCATGGGAAATCGCGGATTTCCGCCGCCGAGCGAGGCGGCACCGGCTGCATTTCGGGGAGGGCACCTCCCCCGATCCATGTTTGCGCGCCCCCGGCAAGAGCGGGGGTCGGAGGGTTCGGTTTACAAGGGACTGCGGCTTCGGGCGCGCAGACTCGTCGCCATACTGGGCGTTGCGGCCTTGGAGGCTGCTCCTCCTCCTCCTCCTCCTCCTTCTCCTCCTCCTGTTCTCCTCCTCCTCCTCCTCCTCCTCCTCCTCCTCCTCCTCCTCCTCCTCCTCCTCCTCCTCCTCCTCCTCCTCCTCCTCCCTCCTCCTCCTCCTCCTCCTCCCTCCTCCTCCTCCTCCTCCTCCTCCTCCTCCTCCTCCTCCTCCTCCTCCTCCTCCTCCTCCTCTCCTCCTCCTCCTCCTCCTCCTCCTCTCCTCCTCCTCCTCCTCCTCCTCCTCCTCTCTCCTCCTCCTCCTCCCTCCCTCCTCCTCCTCCCTCCTCCTCCTCCTCTCCTCTCCTCCTCCTCCCCCCCCCCTCCTCCTCCTCCTCCTCCTCCTCCTCCTCCTCCTCCTCCTCCGCCTCCTCCTCCTCCTCTCCTCCTCCTCCTCCTCCTCCTCCTCCTCCTCCTCCTCCTCCTCCTCCTCCTCCTCTCTCTCCTCCTCCTCCTCCCTCCTCCTCCTCCTCCCTCCTCCTCCTCCTCCTCCTCCTCCTCCCTCTCCTCCTCTCACGCAATCTACCAGTTGGCGTGGTCTCGGGAGCGCGAGTCACGATGGAAGTGGCCAGGGATTTGTGCCCCTCGGGAGCACGAGCCTCTCGCACGTTGCTAGGAACTGCAGCCTCGGGAGGCGCCCTGTAGCAGCTTACTAATATGGATTGTGACCTCGGGGGCGCGAACCTGGCGTGAGGTGCCAGAGAGTGTGGTTTCGGGAGTGCGAATCTGGTGCAATGTACGAAAAGGGTTGTGGCCTAGAGAGCGCAGGCTCGTCGTAATGTACAGGGGGTTGTGGCCCCGGTGGCGCGAGCCTGTCGTAACTTACAAGGGGCTGTGGCCTCGGGAGCGCGGATCTAGCGGAATTTACGAGGGGCTGTGACATAGGGAGCGCGAGCTTGATGTAATTTAACAATGGATGATGGCTTGGGGAGCGCGAGCATGGTGTAGTTTACCAGGGATAGTAGTGTGGGGAGCGCGAATGTTTTCATTTACGCGAATGCGGCGCAGTTCACAAGGCAGTGTGGCTTGGAGCGCGCGAATACACCAGAAGGGGTGGGATCCCGATGGTTTTCGGGCTCCCACCCCCGGGCGGTTTTCAATCATAATAACAGTGAAGCTAGAAAACAAAACATCTGTAACTCGAACTTGGGAATTGGAATAGGAGCAGGGAGCAGGGGAACCTACACCCTACGCCTCGCAGCCTGTTGACCCCGAAGGGGCCGGCTGATTTTCATATTGCGAAGGCCTTACGCCCGTTGCCGCCGACCCAGAAGGACGACGACGACCACGATTACGACCACGACCACGGCGACAACGACAACGATAACGACAGCGACGAGCTGATAACGCTGCCACGGGCTCGGGACATGGGTTGGGCGGTGAAGGGAGGATGAGGGAGGAGGAGGAAGAGGAGGAGGAGGAGGAGGAGGAGGAGGAGGAGGAGGAGGAGGAGGAGGAGGAGGAGGAGGAGGAGGAGGCGGAGGCGGAGGCGGAGGAGGAGGAGGAGGAGGAGGAGGAGGAGGAGGAGGAGGAGGAGGAGGGGGAAATGAGGAGGAGGAGGAGGAGGAAAGGAGGAGGAGGAAAGAGGAGGAGGAGGAGGAGGGGGGAGGGATAGGGAGAGGGGGGGAGGAGGGAGAAGGAGGAGGAGGAGGAGGAGGAGGGGGGGGAGGAGGAGGAGGAGGGGGGAGAGGAGGAGGAAGAGGAGAAGAGGAGGCGGAGGCGGAGGCGGAGGCGGAGGAGGAGGAGGAGGAGGAGGAGGAGGGAGAGGAGGAGGAGGAGGGGGAGGAATTGGGGGAGGGGGAGGAGGAGGTGGTGGTGGAGGAGGAGGAGGAGGACCAGTGTAAGCCCAGGTCTCATCAACGATGCTGGAATAAACCATTCTTCCAAGCTTCCGCTTCACAGGCCCCATTCAAGGTTCATGTCCACTGAGGGAATTGCCCCGTTGGGAGAACCGTTGCAAGATCCTCCAGCGTGCCACAACACCGCTCTCGGAACTGGACCGCCCGCAGTGAACCTGACTACTGCGTCTTGACGATCCTGAATCGGACCAGAGCACCATTCCTGGGACTTTCAACACCGCGAATCAGTGTGATTGTTGCGCCTTGACAATCTTGGATTGTTCTGAAACCCATCTCTTATATGCTACGTATTCCGTGACACGTTTACATTGGTTTAAACGAATGTGAGCGGCGCTAAAAGCGAGAGCCACAATTTGAACATCACCCTCTCTCAATTCATGTTTAGGACGACTGCGCGCGGCGCGAAGGCGAGAGTCACATTTTGAAAACTGCCCGCCCTCCATCCGTGAAATGTTTGCAGTTTTCAAGCTGCAGGATCGGACATGGAGAGGAAGTCTCAGGCGAAGCTCGTGGCCCGCGCTTTCGACCAGCCTCGGAGCGGCGCGACAGGAAGGAGTTATTCCCCAATCAGAGCTTGCCTGTGTAGGGGTCCTGGCGACTTCCTATAGTTAGGTGAGCTTTGTCGCCGATTTCTGCGACCCGCCCGGGTGCCCGGGTGCCCGGGTGCCTTATAGCCCCATACCCCTATAGCCCTATAGCCCTATAGCTCTATAGCCACATAGCCCTATAGCCCAATTACCATCTTGCCATATAGCCCAATAGCCCTATAGCCCCATAGCCCTATAGCCTTATAGCCTCATATCTCTATAGCCCTATAGCCCTATAGTCCTTTTGCCCTATAGCCCTTTTGCCCTATAGCCCAATAACCCTATGGCCCTATAGCCCTATAGCCCTATAGCCCTATAGCCTTATAACCCTAGAGCCCTAGACCCCTACAGCCCTATAGGCCTGTAGCTAGCCCAAAAGCCCTATGGCCCTTTTGCCCCATAGCCCCATAGCTCTATAGACCTATGGCCCTATCGCTCCATAGCTCCATAGTCCCATAGCCCCAGAACCCCAGAGCCCCATAGCCCTATAGCCATACAGCCCTATAGCCCTATAGCCCTATAGCTCTATAGCTCTATAGCCCTATGGCCCTTGAGCCCTTTTGCCACATAGCCCTTTTGCCCTAAAGCCCTATAACCCGATAGCCCTACAGCCCTAGAAAGACTATGATTGGGGTTTTCTCCAGTATCTTTTATGATTAAAAGGAATGGAGGAGGAGGAGGAGGAGGAGGAGGAGGAGGAGCAGGAGGAGGAGGAGGAGGAGGAGGAGCAGGAGGAGGACAAGGAGGAGGACGAGGAGGAGAACGAGGAGGAGGATGATGATGAGGAGGAGGAGGAGGAGAGGAAGGAGGAGAGGAGGAGGAGGAGGAGGAGGAGGACGAGGAGGAGAACGAGGAGGAGGAGGAGGAGGAGGAAGAGGAGGAGGATGAGGAAGAGGAGGAGGAGGAGGAGGAGGAGGAGGAGGAGAGCCGTCTGTCTCCTCGATGGCGGGCGTCTGGGAAAAGCTCAGGCCGGGGCCGTGGGCCAGGGCCAGGCACGAGGCCGGGGCGGGGCCGGGGCCGGGGCAGGGCCAAGGGTTGTCAGGGGCAAGGATAGGGGGGGGGATAGTCAGGGGTCCCCAAACGGGGTGGTGACCACACCGTGCGGTGAGTCGGTGGGGATTCGGGGTCACCGCACGGTTTTGAGACTCGGGGTTTTGGGACTGGGATGCGGGGTCACCGCACCGTTGCGGGACTCCAAAGATAGGCACAGGGGGGGATGCATCGGTCCCCAATCGCCCATCGATCGCCGATAGGGGCCCGAGAGCCCCAGCCCCGCCCAGGAAGGTGCAGATTCACTATCGGGGGCCCATCGCCGATCTATCGGCGATGTATTATCTCCCATTGCATGTCGATGCATCCCCCCCATATGCCAGTCCCCCCCCTATCGTTGCCCCTCAGGTTGGGCTTGGGGCAGAGTTGGGGCCGAGGCGGGGGAGGGGTTTTGAGCCCCACTGCCGACACGGAGACCGCCCTCCTGTTCCCATTTTCAACAGGGGGGGCGCCGGGGGGGGGGGTCACGTGCTCCCTCCCCCCTGGGACCACCTGCCGGGACCACGCCCCGGTGGCCACTCCAAGGGACCCTGCCCGTGGAACCCCACCCCCGGCGGGGAAGGGACAAAGGGAAGGGGCTCCCTTTCGACGGAATGACGACATTGTTCGATCCCCCTTGTTCTGTTCGATCTCCCTTACGACGGCAACGATTCAAAGGAGGATCGCGTACTTCAGTTTGGGTTGGGCTGGCCTCGCGTCGAAGGGCCTCTCACACGCGCCGACTGAGTTGGCAGATTCCATAATTTTTCCCATCCAGGAATGAAGGGAGCAATGAGAGAGCCATTGGAAAACAGTGCAGGCAGTTTACATGGGTTATGGGCATGAATATTGAAACAGTTGCTCGAATTGCACATCAACAACATCATGCATACCGCCACTATGACTGCCACTGCTTACTGCCAGCGCTGTTAATATGATTGGCAGTTGGTGGTAGCTTCTACTGCAAATTCTCTCAGTGTGGGTACCTTGGCGATGAATACGCGTTGCAGTAATACGACAATTCACATCACCACGCTGCAAGTGTTATTACCAGTGCCAGTTGCACACGTCATACCGTGCGTACCTCCGTATCTCGTACAGCACAACCGCCACCACCTTAACCATGAGTACGATCACGAATGCATGTGTGTGTGTGTTTTGCCGCTGCCACTACTGCAGGCACTCATACTGACACGATGAACTGCGGTCACTGGTGTTATTGCGATCGCTGTTGCTGCCTCTATAGCCAGCACTGTTTCAGCGAACGCTGCCGTTAATGTGATAATGATTCTGCTTGGAATGCTCATCATCCTACTACTAATACTACTCGCACTCCTATTACTCCCTCTTCTGCTGCCACCGGCATCAGCACGCGTCCTGGCACAAGTCCCAGCGCTATCATCACGACTACGACGCAAACCATTGACATTGTTTGCATCGCCATTCCTACTACTTGCCCGATGCACGCAAGCCGCCAGGCTCCCCGAGCGGCCCCGAAAGCAGAGCACTGGCCAGCCCGGGCTGACGGGAAACCTCGCGGGCGGCCGTCCTCGATCTCTCGGGCGAAGCAGTCTTCCCCGCATACAAGGTTCCCCTCATCTTCCTTTCCTCATCTTCGCCCGCCCTCCTCTCAACACTGCCCACCCCTTCTTCCTCTCATCTGTCCTTCATGCTTCCCTCCTCTAGACTGTCCGTGCCATCCTCTGGCGTGCCGTTCCGCACAGGACCTCGGGGACAACCCACAGGTGATCCAGAACATGGCCCAGAGCGATCCTAAGTTCAAGGAGATGCTGGAGAAGGACCCAGAGCTCAAGAAGGTGACCGCTTTTCGAGAGAATAGCGATGAGATGGGTGGAGTATGAAGAGGATCAGGATTTTGGGGTCCTATTTGTCGAGATACCCGGGTTCTCGGTCATCTTGTGTGTTGTTTGCCATATGTTGTGTTGTTGTGTTTTGGTTTGTTGCACGCTGGAGGGGAGCAGAGGGAAGCATGAGGCGGACGAAGAGCAGGATGATGAGACGGAAGGAGCAGGGAAGATGGGACGACGATATGGGAGGAGGGGGGGGGGGAGGAGGAGGAGGAGGAGGAGGAGGAGGAGGAGGAGGAGGAGGAGGAGGAGGAGAATGAGGAGGAGGAGGAGGAGGAGGAGAGGAAGGAGGAGGAGGAGGAGGACACTGAACGTCATGTATGACCAACGTCAACAAGGAGGAGGACAGGGCAAGGGCATCCGTATAAGGGAGTATAGCGTCACAAAACCTACTCAGGCGACCTACGCGCTACTGCCAAAATCCCTTGCGATTTGTTGTGCTACAGCCCTGCCTTCCACTAGGGCCGGCAGGGGGCATACCGCGTAGCTCAAGGACCGAGCTCCGAGGTGGCCCCGCAAGAGAGGCTCGATACCTTACATCACGAGTCCCTTCGGGTCTGTGCGGGGGGAGCGATTGCTGGCCCTGCCGCGTGCCCAAGGGGAGGGGACGCGCGGGCTTAGCAGGGCGCCCAAACCAGAGGGGGAGAAACGGAACGCCCGAGACCCCAAACTGTTGCTGGGGGGGGCTGCTAAATCTACAGTTTGAATTCCGTGCTCCCCTCTCTCGCTCAGCTCACTTCTCGGTCGTACCCAGATATGTTCCATGTATTGTCACATCTGTACTCCGGTACCCTGTTGAACTAGCCCAAGGTTCTCCCTCGGAGTGTATATGAGGTTGAGCATACTGGAAGTCACGGTCATAGGTGGGGCCAATGAGGAGCGCATTGGTTGGCTTCCTGATGATCATTGTTTCCCTTTCGACACCCCGCAGTAGTGTACCTGATGGTGCTCCCCAAAAGCGTCCCATTGCGATGGCGATGCAGGCGCTCTGTTGTGCCCATATTGTCTGTCATGGGTTGCACTCCGAGAAAGCTCGCTAATGCTCCTCCTGACTGTCTGCGGGCACGGCCAGCTCGCATCTTGCCGAGATTAGCACTCCGAGAAACCTCGCTAATGCTTCCTCTTGGCAGATCAGAAGGCTCCAGTGGGCGCGCTCACTGGCGGCTGCTGGATGGGCTGGCCGCAGCCGTCTCCTCCGACTTGGGGTAGCCGAACTTTTCCGCGAAGATCTCGGTGCCATCAAGCATGGTTTGGGTGTTGTCTCGTAGCTTCTGGCGTTCCTTCAGCTTCTTCACTTCTTCTGGGTCCATGTTGTCCTCGTTGTTCATCTCCTTGATGGCAACCTTAATTACTTCGTGGAGGTTATCTTCGTCGTTCTTTGCAATCTTCAGCGCCAGCTCGCACTAGCTCTGCACAGTGAAGGCCCTCTTCCCTGACCTCCCCCATTGGTCCACTGGGTACCTTGCGATGAGGTCGCAACCTTCGATCGCGTGCGCCATCGGGAAGGACAATGGGATCGGCTCGAGTGGCTCCCTTGGGCTCATCTTCCTGGCCGCGTTGAAGAACTCGTAATGGCACTCCTTGATGGCGTCGTCAAGTTGTTGCGGTCGCCTTTCCGCAATGAGCGCTTGCCATGCGGTTCGCACCTTGAGCTCCACCACCATCGATGGTCCGCTTTCGAACGGGAAGAACTTACATGCTTCGCAGTCTGCCCCGGACGTTTTCTTCATCTTGTTCACCCATTCCTTCGAGAGCACGTCCTCTGGGTGACTCTCCTGCGCCTTCACCAACTGCAACCGGTGCACCATGCGCCAGAACTGTCATTTGTCACTCCTCGAGTTGGGACCGGGGCCTCTCCGCCACAGCGTGTTCGGGAAGGCGGGCCCGCGCGAGCGACCCCCCCCCTCTCTTTTCGCCCCATCCAGTGCCCCTCCTGCATACGTTGAACAGCTGCGTGTTGTCGCCCCACTTGTCCGCGAAGTCCAGCGCCTTGAGATACTCTGGCTGCTTCTCACCCTTGTCCTTCGCCGTCTTGTAGTCGCCCATCTCGCGTGCATATCTTTCCCTTTCTATTCGAACTCTTGCATTGCCACCTTCAGCGCATTTTCATCATTGACGTCCATGGCCATGCACTCGTTGAGTAGGGTGCCATATTCTTTTCTTCTGCGCAGCGAAGAGCCCCTATCATTATCTCTCTTGCTTTGCCGAAGGCTGTAAGTATACCTCCATTCAATGTGATGCCATCCAGCAGCGCTTTTCCCATCTCCTTTGACTTCTCCATGGCGATATTGTTTCTTTACGTGCGAGACTTTTTTTTAATATTTGGGCCCCCTTCCTCTGCCAGTTGTACTTGAGCAGCTTTGATTTGTCCCAGTGCCTGGGCTGCCCGCGCTGCTCCTTTCGACTTCCTCCTGTGTTCTCTGCAGACCTGCTCCCTCGTAGTATACTTTTCTCCTCCATGCAGTGCCCTTTCTTCTTCGCTCCAATCTTCCCACTCCTCCTCCCCCTCGGCTCCAGCTCGCAATCGATGCGCACTCTTTCCCACTCGCTGCCTTTGCCGCCTGGATCCTTTTCGTGCCCTGGCTCGTGTCTCGCATGCTCTCTTCGGCTTCCGATCGTCTTGTAGTGCTGGGGCCCCTTGTTGCAGCGCCCGCAGGGCCATAGTTGGCTGCTGGCCGTGAAGGCCATGGCCCACGCGCGCGACGCACTCCGAGAATCCCCGCCAGTACGCCGCGTTGCGCACTTAGGCCAGCGCCGAGCCAGACCAGCTGTGGCAACCGAGGCTGAGCCATGGGGATAGTAGCTCATTCCCGACAGCCCAACTGCCGTGTTATACACGTAGTACCTCAGATACGTTGGTCCTATCTCCGCCCATTGGGATAGTACCGAATTTCCAACTGCCCTGTGCCCATCCCGCCCCTGTGCCCTGTGCCCATCTCCCCCCGTTGACCGCGACCCGTCTTACATTGTGCGCATGCTGCGCTGCATGCAAAGCACCCCGCCCACCATCTCTCCGTATCTGCAATAGAAAGGGGAGGGAGAAACGCATCGTGTCGTCATTGTAGATAACCTCTTTTACTGGGTTGGGTCGGCTGGTTGTTGCCAGACAGGTCTTTCCCCGGTGCGTTTCTCTGAAGCTCAGCTTCCCGTTCTGCTCGGAACTCCAGGGCCATTTCGTGCATCCTACCAGTCGGGGCAAAACGTTTGAGTTTGGCGAGGCGTTCAACGTCTGCCGATCGATTCTGATATCCTTTCGCCAACCGAAAGGTCTCTCTTCCTCTTCTGCGCGCTGTTGGGCACGCCGGCTATGCCCGATTGCCCGAGGGGGGGCTCTCCTGGGGCGGCGCTCTCAGTCATGATGCTGACGCCGACGATGGCGCGGTCCATGCGCTTGTCCGTGTCGGCCGCGGCCTGGCAACCTGCCCTGGGGCTTTTGCACTCCGAGAAGACCTCGCTAATGCAGCCGCCCCATCGGACCTGGTGCAGCACTCCGAGAAAACCTCGCTAATGCAATCCACTTCCTCCGTTCTCAGCGACGCCGACGCTGTAGTTCCCGCTCCACCATCCTCTCCATCTCCGACTTGGGCGACGCCGACTGGGAGTTCTTGCCTCCCGCGCAGACGATGAGCATCCCCATCGTCATCCTCAGGTTGCGGCCTGCGAACTGGCCCAGCTTCGCCATGGCGTCTTCCCTCATGTCCTTCGGAAGCACCGCTCTGAAATTGGGAGATTTGTTGATGCCGACCTGGATCTTGCCCGAACCCTCCTACCCGAATTCCTGCTCGTCCTCGTTCGGGTTCCTGTTCTTGATGTTGCGCGCCTCGTAGCTCTCGCTGTCCTTGCACATGTTGATCGTCTCTGTGATCATTGCCTGGCTGTGCTCGCTGTTGTCCTCCACCTGCTTCAGGAAATCGTTCGGGGTGTCCATTGCCCTGTCTGTTGATACTTGCACGGTCGTTTCGCCTTCCTTCTGCCATTCCGACACCATCTCCTGGATGCCTTCCATGAGCGCCACCCCCGTGCGCATGCTTGGCGGCCTCCGCTTGCGCCCCTTGCCCTTCTCCCCAACCTGGAGGCCATTTCTTTATTGCTTGGGGCATGACGGGCGTCATGGCCCCCGCTCCCCCCCCCCCCATGACGTAACGCTCCCCCCCCCAGTGCGCTCCGGGCACTGCCGCCGTGCGCATTGGGATCCCCGTAGGTGTCCGCGTAGGAATCCGCATAGGTGTCTGGTCCGCAGGCGTCGCAGTCGTCGTCGTCGTCGTCGTCGTCGTCGTCGTCGTCGTCGTCGTCGTCGTCGTCGTCGTCGTTCGTCGTCGTCGCTCGTGGTTCGTCGCTCGTCGCTCATCGTCGTCGTGCGCGCGGACGCGGCTGGAGCCTGTTTTTAAGTCCGGGCCGATGACGGCAATCATCTGGGGGGAGGGGGTCGATGACGTCACGTTTCGTGCCGGCGGCGTTTGGGAATGGTTAGGAATGACGGAGGACGGGTAACACGAACATGTAGGTGGCGATATGCACCACAACGCCTGTGTACATCACACTGCCCGCGTGCACCACAGTGCCTGTGTACACCACGCCACCGATGTACACCACAGCAGCCGCGTGCAACACAGCGTCTGTGTGTGCCACCGTGCCTGCGGGCACACCAGCTCCTGTGTACACCACACATCAGCCGTGCGCAACACAAGACCAGTGTACACCACAATGCCTGCGTGCATTGCAGTGCCTGTGTACGCCACGGCGCCTGTGTGCACCACATCAGCCGTGTGCAACACAGCACCATTGTTGTGTATAGAATTTCAGAAAGAATCCTTGTGACAAAATGGAGCGCGTGTGGATTCCAGAAAGAAAAATGGAAAACAAATCCTCATGGACAAAGGAGCGCCGCTGGAATCTACGAGTCCCCCCGAATCCGCCCGCATCACCGTAATTCCCACTTGCGTCCAGGAGGCTCCAGCCAAACTGG